TCACAGCCTTCACGGAGGCAGGGAACACCTTGAAGATGGAAAAAAATATTGCCTAGACTTTAAAGTGAAAACTATTTGAAATGGCAATAGTGGGAATGGAAAAATGCTTCCTAGTATTTTAAAATGTCTTACACTATTGAAAGAAATTGTCTATTATCCTGAAGTGTGCACTTGACTGAGTCTGCACTTAGAGAAGCATTTGGAGAATTTTAAAATATCCTTCCTTTTAAAAAGAGAAAAAAGAAGGTCAGTGGAATGATGTGATATGTGAACATAGTATTATGTTTTAGACAGAAAATGCCAAAGAAATGTTCATATGTGATAATACTAATGCTCTCTCCTAAACTTCCAAAATTATCAGACAAAAACAACAAATCTACAAGCTGGGCAGAAGACAAATATTATTATCTTTTTTTAAAACCTAGCTTCATGCTTTACAGATGTAGTGCCTATTTATACAAACACAGAGACACATTCCTCATAAAACAGGTTCAAAACTGGGTAAGAAGAAATGACCAAAGAATTAATTACCTAAATAGGAGATTGAAATAAAGAAAAAAATTATCCTATCAAAATAAAAGACAAAAACCATGACGAAATGAGGTTTCAAAAGACCTGTGAGAAACTCATAAAAGACATAATGTGCATTTACCTGACTTTTTTCTTTCACGATTTAATTTCCAATGTTATTCACTACCATCTGATAATTGTATGAAACACTTACCCTAACCACGGGCAATTTAAACCATTTTAATTTTTATTTCAAGGCCATGAGACAAAGGAACCTATTTATTGCCTAAGCGGATTTTTTTTTTTTAAAACAAAAATTAAAGCTTAATCTTTCATGTTTTAAAAGCAAAGACTGTTTAAAATCATTTGTAATAATGCTGGAGGGAGACTTTTCCTGGATACGCAAAGTTGAAATAATAAATTTACAATTATTTAAAAAAATTAATAGTTTGGAGGATTAAATTGTCCCTTTCCTCTCTGGATGAATTTGTCTGAAGCTGAAGAAACGGTATTTAAAAACAGGGTAAAACAAAGCCCTTTGTGGCAGTGGTGGCATGAGGTTTCAATGCATTTCACAGTTTGACGGGACTTTTTAATGGTACAACAGCAAGATCTATTTATTCTTATTTAAAAAATAAATAACGGCACTGACTTTAGGGACTGCTCCCAAGCCCTTTTACTTCAGAGGAAATTGCTCTGATTAAGTAGAGACGTGAATTCTACTAACCACATTTTCTGTGACTTTGAAAAAGTCCCTGATGGAAATTAGACAAATAATTTACTTTCACTTAAATGCCAGATTTTTTTTAGTTACACTTAAGAAAAATAATTGAAATTGTAGATTCAAATCGTTTCTGCTGCTACACTTCAGGATTCCAATGAAATACTTTCAGCTATTATGCAAGGCGTTTCTCAATAGAGAAGAGAAAAATCACTTTCAATGAGACCTCAGTTAGCAGAATCTACGGACGGGCAGAATGCCACTTTGAGAGTAAAGGGAAAGACGCTTTGCTAGTGATGAGTTTTGATAGGAGAAGGAAAAAAGAATATACATCTCGAAGCACATCTTCCCTTTCACAATATAGTCTCAGGAAAAAACTAAAAATGTCTAATATGTTTTAAGATTTATCTCTGACAAATACTTAGGCCATCTTCCTAGGTGAAGAACCCCACATTTTTAAGGAGGTTACAACCTACTCATGACAGTCACCATACTGTACAGAATGGATGTGGACCCCTGACATGGACCGCATCTCTCACTCCCTCCACCCTCCTCTGCAGTGCCACTGGCTTCCTGACTAGCCTGAGGTCATGCCAGGCTCCCTCCTGCCTCACAGCCTTTTCATTACCTCTTTCTTCTGCCTCTAATACTCTTAACCCAGGTATCTACATGCTTTTTGCCTTCTTCTTCTTCTTTTTTTTTTTAATAGTTTATTTTAGGTGAAACTATACACAGCAAGACCCACTCCCATTCCACAGTTTCTAACCATAGTGATCAATGACACTGGTTACATTCTTCGTATTGTGTCAACATTCTTGTTGTTTCTGTTCTAGTTGTTTCACCACCGTTGACTTAAACTTCCTGCCCTCCAACCTCTTATCTATGCTTTAAAATAGCTGTTGTCCCTTTGGTCTTATATAATTTTTGTTTTTGTTTTTTAAAGAATGCAATACTCAAGGGTGACAACGTTTACTTTTTGACCTAAACAGTTACTAGTTTAAAGATGACTTCAGGCAACAGTTTCAATTCAAGGTTTGAAGAGTAATCCAGAGCAAGGCTTCCTTCATTTTATTAAGGTTTCTGCTCAAACGCCACCTTTTGAGAGAGGCCTTCTTTGACCACACTAAATAAAATACCCTCCATCAGCCCCCTTCAATATCGACTCATAGCAACCCCATGTGACAGAGCAGAACTGCCCCCCATAGGGTTTTCTCAGCTGTAATCTTCACAGGAGCAGATCGCAAGGTCTTTCTCCTGCGGAGCCGCCGCTAGGTGGGTTTGAACTGCCAACCTTTGGGTTAGCAGCTGAGTGCTTAATTGCTGCATCACCAGGGCTCCTTATCACATATATGTCATATATATTTATTAGCTTACTGTCTGAGCTCCCCTAAGACCCATGAGAGCAGTAATTATGTCTGTTCCATTCACTCCTGTATCCATAGCACCTATGATAATGCCTAACACTATGCAGGCACCTAATACATATTATTTATTGAGTTACATTATCTACACTGATCATCTTATATCTGCTTTTGACCTTGGCTGCTTAAACAGACATGTCTTCTTTTAAAGAAGAATTAATGTTTTAATATTAATTTTTATTCCACAATGGAAGAATGTATTTTAATAGAGTTAAATGAATCCACAAACAAATAAAAGGCCACATCCCCTTAATGAAAATGTTCCTTTATGATAATGGTTTGCCTTTGCAATAGCAGAGAAATCTTAATATAACTACAATATTAAATATATCAAAGTTAAATCACTTAAGGACTGATGGTCCAAAATGTGGGTTATACAGCTCCTTGCTTTTCTTCCTTCTCTACTTTGTTACTGTGAGTTGGTCATTTTCTTCTGGTTACCCTCTCAATAAAAGGGAGAGAAGACGAAGGCCAAGGTTGGAAAATTTACAATAATTTTTTTCTCCCAAAACTAAGTTAATATTCTTTTTTTAAACAAAAAGCTAGTCCTCTTCACTTCTATGTAAACAAACAACAAAGCACTCAGATTACAAGTGATCTTTAGTTTTTCTCCCAAAATAAAATAAAATATGGTTAAAAACACCAGCTTCTCATTAATAATACAATCACATGTATATACAATACTCTGTGCTGCTTTAATGTAAGCATTTCAAGTCCTCTCAGGGAGGTAAATTCTTACTTTAAGAAAAAAATACCTTCCAATCTGATTTATAAAACAGATAAATTAGAGAGGCCAATGTTTTTGTTTTTAAGAAAAAAAAAATCACTATTATTTTTCTATGGGGGCAATTTATCATGTCAAAAACATTTACTTCTCAAAAGGAGTCTCTAAAGGATTTACTTAAATAAAAAGTTTATATACTGCATTAAAGCTCTAATTTATTGGAAAAATATGACTTACAGTTGATTTTTCAGCAATACTATTCACTGAATTAAATGGGGCCCACATATAATAATGATACATTTTTGAAGGCATTTTAGAGAATAAAGTCAATGCGTTTTTATGCTGTTGCTATGAGATTATAACACATTAAAGATGAATCTGCCAGCCTCTTGTAAACATCTCTTACGTTTCTCCTTCAAAACCGCTCTCAGGGTGAAATGTACTAGATACAGTGTTTTATAAACAAACCAAGGTCTACTGCTTCTGAGAGTGACACAGGTTCAAAGAACGTGCTTCACTGCTCCCTGAAGTCAATAGCCTTAAGAAAGCTGACCTGCAGTGTGCTGTATCTTTTATTATGTATTTTCCTGAAAGAAAGCCCTGCACAACTACATTAACATTGCTTCAACACTTAGCTAATCTTTTGGACATAGCTCATAGAGGGTCATGGGATTTTCAAAGTTAGAAGGAAGCTTAGAGCTTGTCCAGGCCAACTCCTTCAAGTAACAGAGAAGGAGATGAGATCATCTATCTAGCAAGGTCTAGAAAACTCAGAAAGGAAGAGAAGTCACTGAAACATTCCACTGTTTTTTGTTGTTGTTTTTTTTACACAAATCATGGTATCTAAGCAACCACATTATGTCTGGCTTGTAGAAAAAGAAAAATGGCACCTGCTTTTGAATAAGGCAGCAAAATTTTGGGGGAAAAAAGACTTTAAATTACATAGTCAATTTTCTTGACTGCAAAAGAACAAAAATGTTCCTCTCTACACCATGGATTTTAAAATCAAATATGAAGGATAAAGCTGGTGGGCAACATAACACTAGAATGATTAGAGGTTTTGAGATTTAAAAGAATTCTTAAATTACCAGAAAGATTTAAAAAAAAAAAAAAAAGACTATCTGAGGCTCTTTGTAACCATAGACTTAAAAGTGAGAATTGAATGGATGATATAGACCTTTTTTTAAACAAAACGAATCATTAGTAGGGTGGATTCTCTTACTAAATACTTTTTTCATCTTTTCCTTGGAAAATAAAACATGTTCAAACTTTGTTTCAAATGAATGAACGAATGAACAAATAAACAAAATAACCTAGATGCCCAGAAATAATTTCCTATCTCTGTCCTGGACACATCTACCTTTGTCCAGACATATGCATTGTTCATGGAGCCGTAGTGGTGCAGTGGTTAAAGTACTCGGCTGCTGACTGAAAGGTTGGTAGTTTGAATCCACTAACCATTCCACGGGAGAAAGATGTGGCAGTCTGCTTCCGTAAAGATTTACAGCCTCGGAAACCCTACTCTGTCTTATGGGGTTGCTGTGAGTCAGAATGGACTCGACGGCAGTGAGTATATGGACTGCTCTTCCCGCATCATCCGAAAGGGAAGAACAGCACTTCTTACCAGGGCTTGTGAGGGCTCCCAGGGCACTGCTCGTTGTAGAGAGAGGATTTGCGTTGGTGGTGGTGGCTGAGGTCTGGGCCGCGGCTGCAGCGGCAGCCAGTGTGGCCAGATTCTGTAACTGTAAAGCATTCATGCCTGTGGAGGGGAGAAAATGTAATTTTAGCAATATGGCCAACTTTCCCAGTTTCCAAACAAGAGATGGCTTATAAAAGCATCAGGGCAGGTGACAAGAGCAGATGAGCCCTCCACTAATCCCTGTGATGTCATGCTGTGCTCGGTAGGAGCTGCCTTGGTATTCTGCACAGTAATCCCATCTGGATGGGCAGTCTCTATCCCTTTTCTCTGACAACTCCTAGCTGCCATGATTGGGGTGCTGCTAAAGCTCAGAGGTCAGCTTCTTTAGCTCTTCTATTCTGCTACAATCTTCTACTCCTAGAGACCCCAGCAGCTAAAAAGGGTAACTGAATTCCATCCCACACTTCTTCTCAGGAAAGTCACCTCACTGTGGTGCTGGCTGTCCTAACCCAGGACATGCTTATCAACTGCCCTCTCTCTATGCTGTACAGATAAACAGAAAAGACAAGTAAGCAATTCCTCTGTGCTGACTGGCCACAGTAGGGCCTTGTGGACTGGCAACTTCTAATATGTAGCTGTCAAAAAATGGTGAGATCTGGGCTTGGATAGATGGAGAGAGGAGCTCAGAAAAATAAATAGCAAAGAGAAATAAAAATTTGCAAGAACACAAGGGTGGGATTAGCAGAAAGACTTGGGACAATGATCTGACACAGGGAGGCTGGCTGTGCCTCGGTGCAGACTGGGCCTGGTGTCTATGCTATGCATACTTTTTTTTTTTTAATGCACACTTTAAATATCGTTTATCCTCCCCCTTCTATTTCTCAACCCAAAGGTTTTCTGAAAGTTCAAAATGTTTTTCCCTGATTCACTTAACAGCTAGAGCAACGAACGTACGTGCGAGAAGCAGGAAAGAGTAGTTCTTTCCTTATACAGAGGAATTGTATAGACAAAGATATTGGACTTAAATAATCAGCTTAATTTTACCTTCTTCTCAAATCCAGATACTTAATAAATGTTTATTGATCAAATTTAATCGGCTTTAGGTAAAGTGGCCTGATAATGGCTTCCTCCTATGTTGGGAGTGAATGGAGAGCAGCAAGAGAATAGTCTAGCTACACATCTCTGCAGGTTTCCAACCACTGGTGTGGAGCCCTCAGCATAAGCATGGCTCAGAAAGCAGCTGATGAGCACTGATTCTGTTCCTCTGCCCTGTCCTCCTCAATCGGGGCATAGTTCTACACAAAAACGAGTGGCTGATGTCTTTGTGGCAAAACGGGCTCTCGTTTTGCTCCAAATGATGCTCCATCTTCTTTCCAAGAGATATCCAGACTGGTTGGCTTATGGTGAAATCCAAACACTTGTTTCTCAAAGCCCACTTATTTCATGGGGATGCTTAGGAGCAGGGAACAAGTATTTGTGGAATCCTGTGAATTTCTGCAGGAAAAGAGCAGACTTCAGGCAACCCTGCTTTATCAGGCAAACGCAACTGTGAACAAAGCCCTCTCTTGTTCTCTCTGATCAAGGGTCAAACAGTGTCACGTTTATGAGAATGTGGGAGTTGAGAAAGCACTGGTCTTATTTTTCAGTAATATTGTTGTTGTTAGGTTAGGTACCTTTGAGTTGGTTCCTGCTCATAACGACCCTATGTACAACAGAATGAAACACTGCCCGGGTCCTGCGCCATCCTCACAATCACTGCTGTTTGAGCTCATTGTTCACGGCCACTGTGTCAATCCATCTCATCGAGGGTCCTCCTCTTTTTCACTGACCCTTTACTTTACCAAGCATAATGTCCTTCTCCAGGGACTGGTCCCTTCTGATAACATGTCCAAAGTACATGAGACAAAGTCTCACCATCCTGGCTTCTAAGGAGCATTCTGGCTGTACTTCTTTCAAGCCAGATTTGTTCCTTCTTCTGGCAGTCCATGGTATACTCAATATTCTCTGCCAATGCTATAATTTGAAGGCATCAATTCTTCTTCAGTCTTCCTTATTCATCGTCCAGCATTCTCATGCACGCGAGGTAACTGAAAATACCATGGCTCAGGTCAGAAGCATGTCAGTCCTCAAAGTGACATCTTTGCTTTTTAACAATTAAAAGAGGTCTTTTGCAGCAGATCTGCCCAATGCAATGTCGTTTTATTTCCTGACTGCTGCTTCCATGGGTGTTGACTGTGGACCCAAGTAAAATGAAATCCTTGACAACTTCCAATATTTTTTCCATTTATTATGATGTTGCTTATTGATCCAGTTGTGAAGATTTTTGTTTTATGTTGAGGTGTAATAGATACTGATCTTTGATCTTCATCAGGAAGTGCTTCAAGTCCTCCTCGATTTCAGGAAGCAAGGTTGTGGTATCTGCATATCACAGTTGTTAATGAGTCTTCCTCCAATCCTGATGCCCCGTTCTTCTACACATTGTCCAGTTTCTTGGATTATTCGCTCAGCATACAGATTGAATAAGCATGACGAAAGGCTATAACCATGACACACAGTTTTCCTGCTTTTAAACCGTGCAGTATCCCCTTGTTCTGTATGAACAACTGCCTTTGGTCTATGTACAGGTTCTTCATGAGCACAATTAAGTGTTCTGGAATTCCCATTCTTTGCAATGTTATCCATAATGTGTTAAAACCCACACAGTCAAATGTCTTTGCATAGTCGATAAAGCACAGGTAAACATCTTTCTGGAATTCTCTGCTGTCAGCCAAGATCCATTTAACACCAGCAATGATGTAATACTTTAGAAAAATGGAAATGGAAGAAATATGGGAGCTGCCTGGCATTAGTGCAGACCCACCAGGACTTAGCGAGGGGCTTCTATTCCCTGAAAGCAACCTCAATGCACTTCACGTTTCAGTTTGACAACAGCCCAGATTTTGAGTTATTTTGCAAGAGAAGAGATACATTTGTACTGATCCATCTGTCCCCTCTTGTAAATAATGTTGCCTCTAATGGTTTAATGATGTAAACCAGATGACCAGACTATACCACCAACAGACGACTGAGCATACAAGAGGGTTTAACATTGAAATTAAAACCTACGACATGCATCTGGCACATATTAGTGATAAGCAAACTCATTATTCTAGGCTTGGGTCATAGGCTCCTCCTCCAGGAAATCTCCTCTGACCCTCCCCAGATGGGAGGAATCCTGCAGTAAGGACCATAGAATTCCAGAGCTAGAAGGAAGTGTATAGATTGTCTAGCTTAACCCACTCATTTCAGACAGAGGCAATCACATCTTTGGCCAAGGTCTCTCAGCCTGTGGACAGCAGAAGTTCCTGATTTCTGGTTCAGTGCTCTCTGCACACCTCACAGCCTTCCTCTGAAGAAGACTAATAGTTTTCATTTAACGAGGGCACTTTCTGTGTGTTAGCAGCAAACCCCCTTACCTCTTTGTACAACCCTTTTTGTGGCTCTCGGCATATCCTACTTTACATATCCTACTCTGACATAATTTATAAGTATTTTTTACCTTTGTAACTAGATATTAAGTTCCTTGAGGACAAAAATTTTGTCTTATTCACTTTCAAGTCTATTTAAACACACACAAACACATCAGTGCTGTATACGTAGTAGGTGATGGGTAAGTCTTTGTTGGATGAATGAACACGGTAACACAAGGTATGAAATTTCCATAACTTGTATTGTCTATAGATCCAACGACATTTTTAGTTTTCCCCATTCTTTGTTAATGCTTCAGTATTTACAACAGCATCAAATATTGACTGTTTTCCGTCAATCGTTAATTAATCCATTTTACAAATATTTATTAGGGCCATGTTAATTCCTTATCTCACCAACATTCATTAAAAGATAAAAGTCCTGGAGCCAAGTCCACAACAGTCAGGTTCTCTATACCACTGTGTCCTCTCCCTTCGGAATCCAAGGCTGAGGGCTTGTGTGCCCCCCGTAAATCCCTTTTTAAAGTTTTCCCTTCGCACATTTTTCCACCTGAATCTTTGGCATTCTGTTCAACCTTTCCCTGCTTCCACATGGTAAAGCAAGGCAGAGGACTGAGACAGAAAGGCTCTACGGCACCATGCTGGGGGTGGTTAACGCTGAAGGAAGCAGAAATGAGGAGTGGAAAGGAGAGACCATTATGATTTCCAGCACCTGAGGGATTTGGGAAAAGATGAGATGGGAGAATCAACCAGGCATTTGCCATCCATCCACCCATCTATCCAACCATTCACCCACCCACCAACCCACCAGCCAACTAACCAGAAGTTACTGAGTGGCAGGGGCTTCATAGTGGGACATCACTACCTGTCCCTTCTATCCTATTCCTTTCGTGATCCCTGCGCGCTGTCCCTGTGAGGCTTTTTCAGTCTGCCTGCCCCTCATCCTGAGAAATAAGGGCTTGGAATACCCAGAGGCTGAAAAGGGCAACTTCCTTGCCAACTTTTTTGGGTTAGGGCCTCCCATTTCCAGCCCTGACTCCCCACATTTCTGCTTTTCTCAATGCAGGGTCTGGTAGAGGCATCTCTCTCTTCACCTTATACTTGTTTTCCTAGGGCTTAGAATGCACAACACTCTCAGCTTGGTGACAACAGTGACGACAACAGCAGCAACGACCACCATTTAGTGGAGGCAGTGCAGGCTGGTTAAAAACAGGGCAGAAACCACTCTCAGACTGTTGTCATTGTTAGCTGCTATAGAGTTGGCCTGATGCATGGGACCCCACGCACAACAGAATGAAACGCTGCCTGGTCTTGCAACATCCTACAATCAGTTGGGGATAGGACCACTGTGATCCATAGGGTTTTCATTGGCTGGGTTTTGGAGGTACATCACCAGATCTTTCTTCCTAGACCATCTTATTCTGGAAGGTCCTCTACGGAAGCTCCACTGAAGTCTGTTCAGCATCACAGTAACACGCAAGCCTCCACTGACAAAACAGGTGGTGGCTGTGCTAGAGGTGCCTTGGCCAGGAATTAAACCTGGGCCTCCTGCATGGATGATGACAATTCTACCACTGAACTTGGGTTTAAATCCTGTCTCTATCTCACCTCAACAAAAACAACAACAACAACAAAAATCCCATTGCTGTCAAG